TAGATCTACCTACTAGCGGGGAGCCTGTTTGGTTTTTTATAGTACCAAACCCACTTAAAACAGATTACCACCACCTAAAGGGCTAGAGAGAGAGAAAGAATCTGTCTCTTGTCTTGATAAATGTAAAGTGACCAAATGTGATTGCCTCTGTGATTTGAAAAATGCCTTTTCTTAAATCGGATTATATTGCATATTCAATCAACTGCCCAGCCCTTGTTAAGAAAGCTAGAAAATAAATCTCTCTCAAAGCCCTACTTACTAATGTCACTTATTTACTTAGCCCCTTTGTACCCCTCTGGTACTTCTATATCTCACACTTTGTATTGATCTGTAACAATGTATGAAATTATAATTATAGAACATGCCCAGATCTCTTATTTTTTTATCATTTGATATATTTTATGTTGTATAAGCAGAACTGTATGAAATATGAGCAGATAGACTACTTTGATTACAGTTAGCAAAACATATTCAAACATTTTATAATTTCCATTTGTATCATGTTATCACAATGAGACCCCAATATGTTTATCACAAGACCCATTTTAAGATTTTTAATTTGACTTATTTTCAGCTAAATGAATATCAGAATGCAAAGTAATTAAACTACTAAAATATATCTTGGACACCATTTGACCAACTCTCAACTGATGTTAGAATCAACAGGCTATTTATAAATTATATGTCTAACCATGTGCCCCCCTGATTTTATCTGCTGGTTGACCTGCTCAAAGAAAATTGTATATTTATACAGGGTTGGTCTTATATAAAGTGTGTAATTGAATTAAATTAGTGTTTTTAACATGCATGCTCCTCCTTAAAGCACATGCATATATTTAGTGTGAAACTGGAATGTTTAGATTTTTTTTTCTCCTGTACTGTTAAGGGCAATTGAAAGCATAGCATTGGAAGCAGCTTCTAAGTACTGGTCATGCATGTGTAAACGTGGCTGACAACTCCAGCACAGCCTAGTCAAGCACTTACCTGCAGGGTGGTTGAAGTATCTGGAGTCAGACACGCCCTAATCCCCAACATCCTGACCTTTAGGAAACCTGTTTCAGCTTGCTCACCATTGCCCTTGCAACCTGTCTCTTGAATCTTGCTTGCCTGGCTGACAGACTATTTTACCAGCCTAGTTCTTAGTCCCATGGGTGGGCTCTGGATTTTTGAACCTTTTCACAGCTTACTCTGAGCCTTTGTGAGTTAATGTTGTGCTTCAAACTAGAAACAAAAGCAGTCAGGGCAAATTAAAGACCAATTATCTGTGTTTGCGTGCTGAGGCAGGTACGTCTGAGTGAGAGAAGTAAGAGGGTTTTGTAGAAAAGATTGGTATACTGCCACAGTACCAGTTCACCGAGTAGTGAACTTTATATTTTAACATTGGGTAGAACTTTGCACCTCTGTGGGAATGATTTGAACTAAGTAGAAACGTAAATATTGATGGGAAATTTGGAAGGTATATTTATTTTTCTATGTTTATGCAGTATTGATTTGGGTTTCCTTATTACTGAAACACATTAATTGCCTATTTTGACTATTAAAAGTGGTAAATTTATACTCTTGTTTTAGAATGTGGTCAGAATAGGTAAAGGCTATTAATGTCATTTATTACCAATTATAAAATTGCATATTTATGTCCACATTTTTTTTTCTTCTTAAAACTAAAATCATTCCCAGTCTCTAAGTCAACCTGTAAACTCTTTCAACAAGCCAATGCTTTTTCCTCTGGGGTTGGTTGTAGCTCTAACGTTTGATTAAGCATTGTTATTCTCCCATTAGCCACATTTGTCTCGATTCCTCGCCTGTTGGGAACCCCTTTTTTAAAGATGCAATGGGTAAAGTTAAAGCTTTAACTATGTCCAGCGACAGTAAAAGAAATGGGTGTGTTCAACCAATTTGGAGTTTCAAAAGGTAAATTTCCTAGATCTTCAGTTATAGTAGCAAAAATTTTTTTTTCTGCAATGATTAATCTGGGTGTCAGAAACATTCCTGAAAGAAGTTGTTCCATTTTAAGATCATATCATTAATCGATCATCTGTTGCAAATCTGTTGTTCCACCAAATCCCACATGGACTCTATATAGGAACAGTAAACATGTTGCGTGTCTTTCGTTTCCCAGACTGATGAGCTGGTTGCAATTGGCTTCAAGAGCTGACAACTTTTGAGCCCAGAGATGAGATTGTTCACACCTAGCGTGTAACAAGTGGTTCTGTGAGCAGCTTCCTTCTCTTACAACAATGCTTTTATGTCTACATGACTGATGCACATAAGGTATTTTCATTTTATCAGACCTTTCTTTGTTATCTAGATCAGTGGTTCCCAAACTTTTTTAGATGCCCACCCTTGTGGTCCCAACCAGGTTAGCGCATCCCCGATACCCCAATCTTTTAAGACAACACAAAAATGTTTTTAAACAAAACAAAGTTTTTTTTTTTTTTTAGGCGACATGTTGAATCCTGCTTAAATAACCAGAACACACATTGAGACAACAACGAAAAAAATTGCAGTTACAATAAAACAAACCTGTCATCATAAAACCTTATGGAAATCCTATGGAAATCAGAACAGTTTTTTTTTTTTTATTAAATTGTAATAACTTAACAACAGAATCCTAAGGATTTTCAGGTGCAGTGAAATAAATAAAGATACACCTGGATCAGTCAAACCTCCACAGAAAACCTTAAATGTCTCTAAAGGGGGATTCAGACTGAATTGGATCAACTAGCTGTGTTTGTTTTCTCACTTTGTTTATTTCATGTATCTGCTCCTCAATCTAAGACTCACAATTTACACCACAAAATAGAAACTTTGGTTTGTGTCTGATGACGAGAGAGACAAATTTGATAGAGAGGCATAGAGTAAAGATAACAGAGAGAGAGGGATGGCCTTGATAAAGCTTTTATTAATCAGATAAATAAGATGTTATTTTCTGATTGTTTCACAGCAGTTACATTCCGGAGTTAGACATGCAACACATCTCAGCCATTTGACTGATTAAATAGTTTTGATAACAAGCAGTTGCACGTGACTACTCACAATTAGCTGCTGAGTGTTTCAAATAGGCAAAGCAAAAACAGCATTGTATTGTAATGCTATAATGCATTGCTGGTCATTCATGTCTAAAAGCCTCCAGGCATAGCTGGACTAGGCAGTAATAATTTTTGCTTATTCTTTTTGTTTTAAAATTTCAGGGTTCTCAAAATGATCGAGCAAAATGGATGATTATTATTACCTTCCAAAATGTTTGCTCAATAAATAAGTTTTATATCCCTAATCAGTGCGTCACTACAATGAGTAACTGTCACCATAAAAAACTTTCAAGTCATTTACGAAATTTAAATAAAATGGACACCTTTATAGGATAAATTTCACCAATCTTATTGTAATTTATACAAGGTTCCCAAAGTGCTTGATGATATGTTTTTCAGCATCTTATCCGTTTTCTGTTTTCCCTTGATTATCACATGAGAAATTGTCTAAATAAGCCACTTGTTTCCACAACCCTCGAGGACCTCGACCAATGCACACTCTGTTTCCACAGTGTGTATTGGTCACAGCCCAGTTTCCCTGAGAGATGACCTCTTCACGTGGCCCATTTCATTCCAATCCAAGGGTTGGTTTAAGCCATGACTACACTGTCTCCTATTTATTACTACCCCACTGTGCCCTCTCAGAAAGATGAACTGTAGCCTATAGTTGCCTTACACATGATTCCGGATCATAGGCTCATATTTTATTTATTTATATTTTTTATTTATATTTATAAGACCCTATGAACTGTGAAGAATTTATGTTTGTCCATTGTATATTGTTTTACTTTGCTGGGCAATGATCTTGAGACATATTTGGGTAACCTTTGGTTTCTTGCAAAGTTATTTGATTTCTGTGGGTTAAGGAATGGGGATTCTGTAGGGCTTGTTTTAGCACATCCCAGAAATGCTAAGTTGGATTGAAACCTGGAGTATTTCAGGGTTGCGTCGGAGCCCTGGGCTTGTTATTTTTCAATGCCATCAAGGAAACTAATTAGCTTGGAGGAGTACGCTTATTCTTCATTAATATTTAACAGCTTCTAAAGGGTTCTAAATATGTGACTTCACATAAATGCTGAAAGTAATGTGGGCCATCTGCAGCACACTGTTGCAACAAAATGGACATAGTTCTCCTCTTCAGTATTTTTGACCTCGTGGGTGACTGGGTATGTTCAAACTTTTTACCTTTACTTTTTTTTTAAACTCACTTCATATTATAATTTCTATCCCAGAGTGCATACAATAAAACAGCATGCTATTCTTTAGCCAACAAACAGTGCAGCTTCAAGGAAATGATAAGATACTAACATAAAGCATCTGTCTGTGGAGCTTCACATCCAGTTGCTTAGACTGAACTTTTCAAAACTTGACATGACCTGGATGACTGAGAATCTTCACAGATATCTCTATGTGGAGTTTGGAGGGGTAAATGATGACTGGATCTCTAGGGTCAGGACCGCAGTTGCAGGAAGTTCATATCTATGAACGGGGAAATGCCACCACCAAGGGATTTATAATTAGGTTGAACTGAATATCTTTTTTTTTTTTTTTCTCTCTATCTCTTTAAGTTGTTTTGTTTTTTCCTTTGTCACTGTTGCTTTGACTTGATTTGCTGTGGTCAAGTAATTCAGTACCTCTGTTATGATGCTCCTTTCTCTCTGCAGATAAGTAGTAATTATCTTTCCTGTGCTAAAAAGGCATTGCTTAGTTTCAACCAGTACAGTACCTATGACACATTCTGCTAGCCGTTGCTCTGTAAACAAAGCATCCTCTATCTTGCTATGTGGAGTTTAAGTCATTCTCCAGAGATATCTGCGGGAAACTTGGTCACAATGACTAAAACAGGGGACTTTGACCATTAAATATTGACTCAAGTAAAGTCACCCGCTTAAAATGGAACCGTTGTGAGAGAACTACAGTGCTTTGTCATATGTAAACGGTTTAATATGTATGTCTTTTTTTTTTTTTAAGGATTAAAAGAAAAAGATTCATAATGGAGGAGGGCTACGAGCTCGACCTCACCTATATCACAGAGCGGATCATTGCTGTCTCCTTCCCTCGTGGCTGCTCCGAGGAAATCTACTCGCACAACCTAAAGGATGTCACGCGAATGCTCAAGTCTAAGCATGCAGATAATTACCTGGTCAGTGTTGATCCTCTATTTTAGCCTTAAATATTAGGAAAAAGTCATGTAATGTCAAACTCATGTACAGTATTGATTCAATCTAATACTGAAGGGTTTTTATCTCAGATATTAAAATACGAGTAATAAGTTATTAAGCATAACGTTAAGTATTAAGACTGTATATTTCACTTATCGTTATATAAAGAAGTGAATGAGTAAATGCTTTTTTTTAGTCTGTGGTGTGCTGTTTTTCTTAGATTATTAATCTGTCAGAGAGAAGGCATGACCTTACCAAGATGAACCCAAAGGTAATGGTCTATGGCTGTATTTCTTCTGTTTTATCAAGTTATCTTATCTCATCTACATATTATGTTGAAAACCAAGATAAGTAGTGAAAGAATGTGTTCATCATGATGTTTGATTTTCTTTAGACTTTGGACACAGGTTGGCCAGACCTACATGCCCCTCCGCTGGATAAGATCTGCACCATCTGTAAGGCCATGGAGAGCTGGCTGAATGCTGATCCTTTACACGTGGTTGTTATACACTGCAGGGTGAGCGTCAATTCAATGTTTTGGGTATTTTCAGGTCTTGCTACCATTGCAATTTCATAAAATATGACAACCAATCTGTTGCCTGATTATATTTACATCATGAGGTAACTGTTTAGTTTCTAGGGATAATGTGATTTAATGGTGTTTGTTAAAAATAAAAGGCTTATAAACCAAATAACCAAGGGTCTGAAAGATAAAGAGATAATGAAGTGACAACCATGAAAATCATCTTGAAATCTAAATTTTGTTTATTTTCTAATTAGACAAGAATATTGACATAAATATATCAAAATATTTCTTAGGATGATGAGACTGCGATCGTTAGAAGTTAACCTAAGATCTTTGTACCTTGATAAAATAGCAAGCCAAGTCTTGAGAACTCCTATGCCCCATTTACACTAGCCCTCTGAAGCCAATCTATGCCGAGTTCGGACCGAGCTTTGATCAGTTACACTGAAAAAATAATGCTACCACTTTTGGCATGTACTTAATCAGATTTAGTTACTTTAACACAGTTGTTTTATGTCCTACCCTGCTAACATGAAACAATTGTGTTAAAGTAACTGAATATGATTAAGTAAATGCCAAAAACGGTTGGATTGTTTTTTCAGTGTAACTGTGCCATTTACACATCACCCTAGCACTGTTCCTCTCCTCCAATTGGCTATTGGCTATTTGCTGCTGCAGCTCTCAAGGCAGGAATAATGCAAACAAAAATTGAGGCGCCCATAACATTCAGCGACTTATGTTTGTGTATATTAGTGATATTTCATCATTTGCGGAATGTCAGGCGAAGAAGGCCTCCTTCTCGTTCTCGGCATCATCAAAGGACACATCAGGCACTTTTGATGCCATTTATTGTTAATAGGCTGAAAAGAAGTTTGTGTTATGAACAGGTGAAGAGATCTTTGAATTGCAAAACCGGACATCTTCAAGTTGTTCAAGTTGAAGATCGGCATTGTTTGACATAGAGGACAGGCTATTTAAGCACTGAATATTTGAGCTTAAAATTAAAATAGTTAACACTTAATGCAACAGTGCCACATATCTGTTAACCCCCCAAAATGGATATCTAGGGACAAAAAAATATTTATTTGAGCAAAAAGAAGATCACGGAACTGGCTTGTATACTTCTAAGTGGTATATTCACACGTTGGTGGCAAAATTGGGATTATTAAGGCAAAATTTCATGGTTGTTGACTTTTAAGTGCTAGCGTTTTTTTATTTACTGTTTCTATTTAAGAACCATCCTTACATAATGTAGTACTGCAACACAAAAGCACACTCAGGCACATTATTGACAAAACAAAGTCCTGTTTATTTGCCCTAAAAATCTTGGTGACAAAGTAATCTCTTAGTTTTCTTCTCTACTAAAAAACTGTTTTTCCATTACAATAATTATTATGCATGGTTTCTACTAATGAAAAAAAGTATTCTCTATTTATGTTGTGTTTTCGATCACAGGGTATTTGTTAAAGTCATTGGTGGATGCTGTACAATTTCTTAGTATTTTGTCTTGCAAATCCTTGTGACTCTAACATTTTCAACTTAAATTAAAATGTTTGGTTGTTTTAAATGTATGTCTTGGTAAGTGGAGTGTTCAGCTGAAAACACAAAAATAAAAGAATATGCATATTAAAAAGATGGAGCATTTTGGTAAAATATGATATGTTATTTTTCAAGCACTTTAAAATAGACTAAAACCACATGTGTGCTGAATCATTCTTTGTCATGTCCTGTTTTTGTTTTTTCTTTAGGGTGGCAAGGGTCGAATTGGTGTTGTCATTTCCTCCTTTGTGCATTTCACTGACGTATCCGCCAGGTAACCACAATCAACGTTGTGATTCATGAGCGTTACTATAAATTCCTCCTTTCTTCCCCCTAAGAGTCCAGATTTATCATAACATACATGCCCTCACTCTTTGTGTTAACCAAAGAGCAAGTCACAACAATTCATACAGACTCATTCTGTTTGGACCAAAAGCGGTGTCATTGCTTAACCACATTTGATTTATCTACCTCCTTTAATTTTGCCCTAAGGTGACTTGGAAAAAAGAACTCAAACAAAAGTTTCCTCTTCTAGATTCAAAAGAAAACCACATTTGAGCCATGAATCACCCAGGATTGAATTTCATGAATCAGCTCAGAAGCATGTGTTTACCCTGTGATGTCCTTTGGCCAGGGTGTCTGTTTTGAGAAACCCTGACACAAAAACAAAACCCATGTTGGTTTCTTTTTCAAACTTTGCCAGTAAGAAGTTCTCAAAAGGTGAAAGGAGACCTAGCTCTGAAAACATGCCATATTTTTTCAATGTAAAAAAGAAAGATAACACATCAGGACCAATGCTTGTGGAGTATAACTTGTAAAATCAAGTTAAAAACAAAAAACGTTTTACAAAGATAAAAAAATATTATTCTGTTGCATAATACCTCGACATCTAGCCTTTTTTTTTAGTTGGGTATATATAGGCATTAGTTACCCAAATATGCCATAAATCAGTCAGATTTGGACTTTCTTTAGATCACCTCCAGAAATTGGCTTTAGGTTGGGTTTGGTTGGAGGTTTTCTAAAAACTTAAAGTGTTCTTCTGTTGCTGTTTTATATCACCTGGAGAAAATACTCTGAAAAATTTGCTCATTCCCTGAATTTGGACATTTTTCTACCCTTCTCCTGACTGATCACGTCTAATATTGTGATTCCTGTAATGCTTTGGATACTCTCCATTGCCTGTGGTATGAGGTGTAAGAAAGACATGTCACAAAAAGGCTTCTAAAACAGCTAAACTTAATATGTGGATAATCACAGACAATTTAAATAATGGAAGGAATGTACTAACTGTTATGTAAAAGGTTTGAATGTGGTCATTAAATATTGATATATTTAAAAGCCATTATAGTAATTTAGCACTGTGGCTCCTTTCTGCATATGAAAAAGACTATGTTGAATGAGCAATATGGTAAAGATTTGATAAGCAATGTTTCTGAGCTCTGTTTGTCCCTAATTGGCAGAGAGTAGTTCACTGGGCTGAATGTATCAGACAGAGGAAGTGGAGGGAAAATGGTAAACCAGATTTGGAAAGCAGCAAATTAAGAGGGGAGCAGAGCCAGACAAGCAGGGGTCCACAGAATATGCAATGGGGGACTGTTGGTTTTAGGTCCGTCTGAATAAGCCAAGCTGTGCACACACTCGGGCCTCTCTCTGTCCCACTCTGTTTACTTTAGGCTGACATTCTCTTCCTCTCTGCTGGAATCCTCTGCCTCTCAACTTACTTTCCCTCTTTTTAGACATGTGTATATGTCTGCTGTGCTTTAACTAAAGTTAGGGTCAACACTATCATAATCAATGTAATCATTCTGTTGAGTCATAATTGCCTAAATGTGTAAAGCGAGTCTTTCTGTCTCCATCAAAGTGCTGATCAGGCATTGGACCGCTTTGCCATGAGGAAATACTACGATGATAAGGTCTCAGCTCTGATGACACCTTCGCAGAAAAGGTAAGACCTGTTACACAGCCGTACCCTTCCATTTAGAGGCATACTGTTTGACTTTGCATGCATCTCCTTCCCAACATTTAGGTCTCTGACTTGCTGCACTGCATAGCACACAGTCAATGTTCTGGTGGTTTTCATCTATTTTTTAGCTGAAAGCCTGCCATTGTTTGTTGTTTAAATGAGGAAAGTCTCCCATGGTGACCTGAAGTAATTCTAACCTTGTGTAATTCATCATCGCTGACACTAATACCAAACATCCTTTCAGGTTTTAAGCAAAAACAAAAAAGGAAATTTTGAAATTATATGAGGAAAAATATGAGAGGAATAATTTCACAGATTTATGTAAAAGCTATTGCTAAAAGTTAAGTATTTCTGTAGAGTTTGACACAAAAACGTGTCTTAATTTAGGCATTACCGACTATGCGCAAACTGCCAAGTGCTGTGTGTTTTTGCTTTTTTTTTTAAATCTGTACTGTTTTATGCTTTTTATTATTCTTTTTTTTTTGTACAGCAATTTGGTCAGCTGTGGTTGTTTTTAAGTGCTTAGCAAATAAAATAGAACTGGAGTCGGAAGCCATTCCTGACATTAAAGCTGGTTTTAGAAAGGCCCAGTTCCAGATTGTTAACCTACTCATTTTCTGATGGGTGATATTATCTTCAAGGTGTACTGTCTTAAATATTTAGCCTTGTTTATAAATGGTAGAGATTAACCGATTAGCAGGAGATCAAACTCTTATTCAGTGATCGTCCAATCCACGCATATCTCATACAAAAACTTTGAAAACCAACAATTCCTAGAAAATCTTTAAGGTGTTTCACAGAAATTTAAAATACAGCATCAAGTTTAGTATTCATGTCTGAAGTGAGTTAAAGTAATAAAGTGTAACATGTTAATATTTTCATGTTAAATTTGTAAAAGGTATATAAATATAAAACATTAACATGTTAAGTGGGAAGGAGAGAGAGAGAAAGATGCAGATGTATTGTTTTCTGCTGTTTCTATCCATATAATAGTCCTGCTGCACATTTATTTCCACATCTTTGTATTCTTTACAGGTATGTCTGGATCCTCAACAGTTTGCTAAGTGGATCCATGAAGATCAATGCCTCGCCGTTGTTCCTACACTGCGTCATCCTTCATGGGATCCCAAACTTTGATACCGCCAGCAGAGGTTAAACTCGTAATGTTTACCAAAATACTAAACTACCAGGGTTTTTGGGAAAAGAAAGGGTTAAAGAACAACCACATCAGAGTCTTATTTGAACTGTATTCCTCTTTCTTTTTTTTTCTCCCCTGACACTTGCATGTTCAGACACATAGAGGTTGTGTGTTTAAAAAAAAAAAAAGGTTATACTCTCCTAAATTCTCAGTTTGCAGCAGAGTACTGGGAATTGTTCCCTTTGGAGGTGCCAGGGTGGAAATTACTGTTTTCACTCATTTCATTGAATCAACAAGAAGTCGTCATCGCATCTCCGCGCAAAAGTCGCTCTCTCACAACAACAGCTTATCACGCTTCAGCCCTCAGCAAAATAAGCTCAGAAGTCATGCCATCAAGGCACCTGGAGAAAAAAAAACATTAATTGTGGGCTGTTGTCTTTGTGTTTTTAGTGTGTCACCCATACATCAAGGTCTATCAAGGAATGCAAGCAGTGTACTCCTCTGGAGTCTAGTAAGTTTGTTGAACATGTGGCTTATGGTGAACTGAACATTAACTTCAACACATGGTGTTGAGATTCATTTGATACTGATTATGATAGAATTTAAGTAGCAGTTTACTTTGTCAGGCTCACTTTGACTGTATCCTCTATGCTTTCTGTTCAAGTCACATTGGTTCAGGTCACAGGGACCGAGTGTGCATCAATCTGGAGCCAGCCCAGCTCCTGAAAGGGGACATTATGGTAAGGGAAAAAAATAACAACAAAAGAATATGATCCCATGTTCCCAAAGAGGACTCTACTGCCTACTGTGACCATGCTCCTCCCCTGCTTTCCTTCCTAGATAAAATGCTATCATAAAAGTGACATGACCTCTGAGCAAGAGGTGATTTTTCGGCTGCAGTTCCACACGGGAGCAGTACAGGGTTACAACCTGATGTTTGAAAAAGAAGACATGGAGAACGCCAACAAAGGTATACCTGAAAAAGCTCTGAGGCAGGCCTCAATTTGTGGCTCCTGGTAAAGAGCTGCTCCCCAGCTTTGCAAGACTCCTACTAAGCTCAGGCTGGACGCAATCTAGCCTTTTAGCCCACAAATCTGTTTTCCAAGAAATCTTTTGTGTTCTGAAATAATTAATTGATGTTTTCTTGATTATGGATGCCTAACATTTATAGCATTCTGTGCTGTTATTATAGACCCCAGATTCCCAGACTATGGCAAAGTTGAGCTTGTCTTTTCTGAGGGACCAGAAAGAATCCCAGGTGAGTTTTTATTTTCTCATATTTTACAAAAAAATTCAATTAAGATAGACTAGTTAGAAAGGCAGAGAGTGCTTTTTATTTTCCTTTCCGTGCTTCCCACTCGGCCCCCCTGGTGAGAGGGGATGTGGAATGCAACAGAGGGGAAATGTAGTGTGAAGTGTGTGCTGACAGAGGGGTAAAGAAACCCAGCATGTGCTCCCCCAGAACCTCACTTGAGTGAAACTATTTAGGTCTGTATCTTTAACTCTGTGTTATTTATGCAATTGTGTATTTTTGTCAATATGATGGTCTCCCACCTTCTGGTTTACTGTTGATATTCTATTTTGTTTGTTTGTTTATGGATCAGGTCTAGTGAGGGAATTTTTTTTTTTTTTTGAGATAATTCATTTAGATATTTTTGTGAAGTAAAAGTGTTACCTAAATCCTTATGCCGCCTTTGTTTCCTTAAAAAATGTAAGCCTGTTTGAAGTCCCAACCTCTTTTATGGTGCTTTTACACCGAACACGTTTTGGGCATCAAAAATGTTTAAACGCCGACACTTGAATGCTGGGTCAAATGCTGGTCAAGGTGGTTTGATATTCTGTATGCTCTTTGCTCTGCTTGTTTAGCTGCTCTGTTCTGTTGCAACAAACTAGAGAGCTGCTTTGCTTTATTGCTTTATGAATAAGAGTTTTAGTTTTTTAAGTGAGAAAATCCATCTCAAAACATCATCTGGGCAGTCAGTTCATCAGGATTATGATCCTACTGAAAGATTGCAGTTCCTGTTCGGATCCCCTGCATACCAGTGGGCGGCAGTGTAAAAGCTCTCTGAAGCTGGAGAGCTTTTGAAGGTTTCCTTTTGCTGTTTGGAGAGGCTGGAAGTGAATATGAAGTCTTTAAGGTCTGTAGTAAAAACTGCAAGTACCGGAAAATACACTTGAATATTTTTCACTGGCAGGAAATAACATTGTTAGTTAATTTACGTATCTATAAACTGTTTTCGCCACAGTTAATTAATAAAAATGTTTTGTGCAGTAAGAATGATCAGAGCTCGTTCTCTGTTTCTTGTACAATTCATTCTCCAGGCTTTTTTAAAAACCTACAGAAGCAATCATAACTTAAGTATAGTGTCTTTCCCCCCCAAACAGCTGCTGGAGTAGCTTTTCTGATTTGTGGATGCTCGACATCGAGCTGTAAAAGTTCAGATTTTTTAACTCCGTCTTGAACGCTCCGAAGCCGAGACGCCAGAATGCTCTGACACCCAGACGCCCTGATACATGTCGCCGATGTTCAGACCTGCTGCAGGACCTCTCGATGCTGCCTGATGCTATCGCCCATAGACTTTGCATGTAAATCAGATGCTTTGATGCCCATAACATGTTCAGTGTGAACGCACCTTTAGTCTTTGGCTGGAAAGATGTTTGTCAAACAACATATTTCTATCCAGCTGATACATTTAAATTCAATGCCTTGCAGAGACACCTCTTTAAGTCAATTTTATAAAATTAAGATAAATAAAATCTTTGCATTTTATAGATTTTTGCTTTTTTAATGTGAAAACAGATGTCCCTTTTTCTAATGGTATTATATGGTCTTTTTATGTCTTATTTAATGCTTCTATAAAGGCCTTACAGGTTTATTAGAGGAAATTATTAAGCAACAGCTTCATGAAGACTAAGGAATGCAGTAGAGAGGAGTTTAAAGCTAAAAGTTGGGCAATATTTAAACTTTGATCATCTGATCTAACATTTCAAACCATTATCCAGAATAGAAAGTTTGCACAAATGTAAAAACCTAACCATACAGACTAAAGAAGGAAAGTCACAGATATAAGAAATAATGTCCAAGGATCCAGGGAAACTGCAGAGGAGCAGACGATATCCTTAACTCACCAAGGGGAATATGTTATCACTAGTGGATTTACACCAGGTACATTCTGCTTTATGGATAGGTGGTGTGATAAAAGCCATTGTTGAAATAAAGCCACAAGAAGTTGCCCAAGTTATTAGTGTAAACAGCAATATGTGCAACAAGGTGCTCAGATGAGATTCGGTTTGAAATGTCTTAGCCTACATAGAAAAATGCAACTTTGTATGAGGCGAAAACTCCCACTTCATGTCACCCTAAGAACCCGCCATCCTCACTTTAAAATGTGGTGGCTGCTTTATGCTGCAGGAATACTTCTATTCAGCAGACAGTGAGCCCACTTATTAAGAAGTAAGGGGGGGGGGGGGGGGGTGCTATTTGTAAAGCTGTTTGAAACCCTGTATCTTTATACTCTGTCTATCATGCATTTTGTTTTTGCACATCTCAACAAATTAAATTGAAGCTTTTAGCTTTAACTTTTTATCAGTTTGATTCCAACCCAAGGTGGTAAATTCCAAATCTTGGAATATAGTCATATATATAGCTCCTGTCTTCCTGTTCCACATTGTTGGACTTCTGTTCTAAAAATTACTGATAGATATTAGTTTTCTGTATAGATGTAAGGTGTCTTATAAATCTTAAAGAGCTTTTTAAGGGTTTACAAGAATGTGGATTTCCTTTTCAGGTGCTGACAGGTGGCAAAATGGGCCAGATATTACTGTGGATTACAACATGGCAGTTTCTCTTAGCCGCTGGGACTCGTACAAGAACATCTGTGATGGTGAAGGTACAGACACTGTGCTGCTTTAGCAATATCTGTAGACATTGTTATCTTATCTCTGAGATTAAGATGGTGAATCATGCACTAAGCACAAACATTACTAGAAGTTCTGTGTATTGGTATAGAGAGAACTGCAGGCAGGGAAACCAGATGTCGTCATTCATCCCACATTTTTCCATTCTGTCTCTGTGTCCCACAAATTGAAACGATGTCCCGGATTTTACTGGGTCAAATTCAGAAAAGTCAAAACTAATATTCATTGGGCACTTTTTATGACTGTAAAGAAAGCAGAGATGCATGATTGCCATAGAGCTGCTGTCGATCAAAATACAATACGCATGATGCTCTTAAAATTTCTTAATCTTAAGAAAAAAAAGGGACTTTGTTTAAAGAAAAGAAAATGCAGCCACAAAATAAGACTGTGGAATAGTTTATAACTGGGCGAGGCCAGTAAAAAATGAAAGTTATTCTGAGAGTTTTTTTGTGAAGTTTGCAGAAGTTATTTTTATATTTCATGTAGAGGGGGGTGTGATATAAATTGGCTCTGTAAAAGTGAGGAACACCAGAAATTCAGAGCTGAAAAAGCTGTGTCTCTCCTGCATTTGTTTTTCTTTGTTTTGTTCTTAGAGCTTGTCCAAATTCCGCGTTTACCTAAAAGTATTTTCCTCCTTTTTCGTTTTAATAGCAAAAACAAAGTGGAACACTCTTTCTCCCACATGGGCCTTAAAATAACATCTCATGTCCATTACCCTGTGCTTTTTAAGACCAGCAGGGTGGTTCCATTAACATTCACACCAGTTGAACTAACTTGGTATAAGTTGGAGCTGATTTTAAACAGACATTTTTTTCATGGAGCTTAAAACTTCTGCTCTCAGGCAGGCATGGTAACCTTTTATAAAATGGAGAGAAGAATAGGTAGGGGCCAAAACGGCACAATGGCATTCAGTGTGATGAGAATAGCAAAAGTGTTGTTTTACTTTAAAGCTGGGTTCAGAGGAAGAGCAGTTCTCAGGAGATTTCCTCTTTGTTGACTCTTCAAGTGAATAGGCATGCCACACACATACAAACTCTCAGTCCAGCACACCCATATAAATGTGGGTGTATATATATTTATATACATATAAGTACTTAAAGAGCCACCCTGTTGGAGTGTCTTGTCCCCGCTGTGGTTGTCGTTCTTCACCGAACCACAGCATTCTCAGCAACCTCTCAGAATAGATCGACGTTGTAGCGACATTAAAACCAAAATCGAAAGTTACTACCGTAACTACGGTTCTATGAATCCCGGATGACCGCCAGAGGCGGTGCTTCAAGCACTGAATGATCATTCTTGCGCATGCGCAGGTCGAGTATTAATGACAACAAAGTCAGCTGTGACCTGCCGGGGACCCACGTGACTCTATATAGTCACGTGGCACCCGGCAATCAATCCCTCAATCTTCTCGCGAAAGCAGAGATTCCGAGGGACCAAGCACTCTGGCGGTCATCCGGGATTCATAGAACCGTAGTTACGGTAGTAACTTTCGTTCTATTTCATCCCTACTGACCGCCAGAGGCGGTGCTTCAAGCACTGGATGACTCATATCAACAAGGTCACGAGGAATCAGCAACATTCAAGGAACAACGACTACACCACCCACCTAATGTGATGTAGAGGCATGCTGCTCGAGGATTCCCTGAAGCGGATGGGGCGCAGCCACATTCACCCTGTAGAACCGAGTAAAGGTACTAGGTGACTTCCAGGAGGCCGCACGACATATAACATCCAATGGCACCCCAGTCATAGCAGCAAACGATGTCGACATGCCCCTTGTAGAGTGGCATTTCACTCCCGCCGGCAGTGGCCGGTCCTGCAAGGCATAAGCCTTGGAGATCAAATCCACAACCCAGTGTGCAAGTCGCTGCTTAGAAAGTGCCTGACCTTTCCGTGAGCCAGCGTAGCAAACAAAAAGGCTATTTGTCTTTCGGAAGGATGCCGTGGCATTGATGTATGTCTCAAGGGCACGGACAGGACACAGTGGTTCAGAGGGACTTCCGGAGTCAAACCGGGCAAGATGGAGAGGCTGGGTGCTGCCTGCTGGCAGTGATACCTTAGGAATAAATGCTACATCAGCCCACAGTGTAACGCCTGAGCCATCAGGATTCCACCGGCAGCAGGGTTCGGCTATCGAGAGAGCCTGTAACTCCCCTACACGTTTTGCGGAAACCATAGCTAAAAGGAACGCAGTCTTCAGTGAGAGCCATTTGAGGTCCGCCGACGCCAGGGGCTCAAATGGGAGGGACCGAAGAGCCTCAAGCACAAGAGAAAGGTCCCACGCCGGTGCCACAGGGCGGTTGGGTGGGTGCAAACGCCGAGCACCTCTTAAAAACAGTACAACATCCTTGTCTCGGCCCACAGAACAACCATTCAGCCCAACATGCCAACAGGAAATGGCAGCCACATACACCTTTAAGGTAGATGGGGACCGTCCTTGATCCAGCAATGCCTGCAGGAAGGTCAGTATGTCAGAAACTGAGCACTGCACCGGGTCCTGCCCTCTATCACGGCACCAGGTCGCAAAGACCGTCCACTTGTTAGCATAGACAGCTCGCGTGGACGGCGCCCATGCATTAGCCATTGTATGCCCTATGGACCCAGTGTATCTTGAGAAGGTGGACCCCGGCCTTGCAGGGGCCAAATCCAGAGCTGGAGCCGGTCCGGTTCGGGGTGCAAGATCTGACCCCCCATCTGGGAAAGAAGGTCTCTCCTGGAGGGGAGACGGATTGGCGAGCCGGAGCTGAGCTCGCACAGTAGAGGAAACCAAGTCCTCGCTGGCCAGTAGGGGGCCACCAGCAGGACCCTGTGCCCCTCCTGACGTACCCTGAGGAGAGTCTGAAAAAGTAGGCTGAATGGCGGAAAGGCATAAAGGAGGGTCCTGGGCCAGTCGTGTGCCAGAGCATCGTGGCCCAGAGGGCTGCTGTTGTCCAACGAGAACCAAAGGGGACAGTGAAATGCGTCCCTTGAGGCAAAGAGGTCCACGTCCGCCCTGCCAAAGACCTTCCAGATGCACTCCACCACCTCTTGGTGAAGCTTCCACTCCCCTGGAAGCGGCTTCTGACGGGATAGAAAATCTGCTGGCACGTTCTCCGGCCCTGGGATGTAGGCTGCTCTGAGGCTGGCTATGCGTGGAGCTGCCCAGGTCAGAAGCCGTTGAGTCAAGCACAACAGTTTCCTTGACCTCGTGCCCCCCTGGTGGTTGATGTGAAAGACCACTGTGGTGTTGTCTGACCTCACCAGCACGTGCTTCCCCCGCAAGCCTGGAAGAAAGCTCTGAAGAGCCAGAAGCACAGCCTGTAACTCCAGGACATTGATGTGTTCCCTGCCCTGCCGCTGGGACCATGTCCCCTGTGCCATTTGACCCCGCCAGGTTGCACCCCAGCCCGTGGAGGATGCATCTGTAAACACAACTTCCCGACGACACGGGAGGGAACCGAGCGGGACCCCTGTGGTCATAAACAACCTCACCCTCCATTGGACAGAGACTGAAGACACTGAGGCCCCACCCGAAGTCTTCGGAGACGATGAGTGTTCCGTGTGGGATCCAGATTCAAGCTGTTCAACCACATCTGGAGGGGCCGCAATGACAGCAGCCCCAAGGGCACTACGGCGGACGCAGCTGTAAGCATGCCCAAGAGTCGAAGATACCGCACAAGAGGCAGCGCCATGCCGCGCCTGAATTCCGGGAGCACGCTCAATATACTGTCCACCCGCTGGGGTGACGGGCAAGCAGTCATTGAGATGGAATCCATGGCAATGCCCAGGAAGACAGTCTCCTGTGAGGGGGTCAGACTGCTTTTCTCCATGTTCACCTGCAAGCCCAAGCATCCCACATGATGGAGCACTAACCGAGTATCTCGATGCGCCTGGTCCCACGTCGCGGCACAAATGAGCCAGTCGTCCAGATATGGGAGGATCCTCAATCCCTGTGCCTGCAGAGGAGAGAGGGCCGCTGCAACACATCGGGTGAACACCCTGGGGGACAGTGAAAGTCCGAACGGGAGGACCCTGAACTGGAAATGCCTCCCTTGAAAAGCAAAACGAAGAAACCGCCAATGGGGCGGAGCGATCGGAACGTGAAAATAAGCATCCCTGAGATCTATGGAAGTGAACCAATCGCCCGGGGAAATCGCCTGCAACACTTCCTTGGTGGTCAGCATATGAAAGGGCATGGCCTTCAAGTACACATTCAGGCCTCTGAGGTCCAAGACTGGACGCAGGCCCCCGGTCTTCTTCGGAACCAGAAAATACGTGGAATAAAAGCCCCCTGGATCCAGCAGGGGGTCCACAGGCACTATAGCACCCTTGGCCAGCAAGGTGCAGATTTCTTGGTTCAGTGCCTGTGCCTTCACCGGGTCGTGGATCACAGTCATCCTGACCCGGCCATGGATAGGTGGCCGGCGGCGGAATTGAAGACGGTACCCCCGGGACAGGGTGGACAACACCCACAAGTCCGGGGTGTGGGCAGCCCAGAAGCTGAGCTGTTCCGGGGAAAAATAACCGACCGCCGGCCCTAAGGCATCATCTCCGGGTCCCCCGGCCCTTCGAAGGCCCGGGAGGACGCCGGCCAGACTGCGCGGCTCGAAAGGGATGAAAGGACCTCGTCCCAGCCTGGTCTCGAGCTCTGTTCCTCCGATCTAGAGCAGGTCCCCGGACCGATCTCTGACCTGGTAACAGACCCTGGGGCTCAGTGGGAGAAGGAGAAGGCACTAAGGACCTCCGTGAAGGACCCGCAGCTGCCCAGGTGCTTACTGGCTGGCGATCACGTCTGTGAAGCCCTGCCAGCTGTTGCCTCGTTCTAGAGGCCTGAGCCGTACGGTCCAAGGCGTCCAGTGCCGCTGAACCAAAAAGCTCCCCCGGGACCACAGGCAGGGCCCGGAGGGTCCTCCTACAAGGCTCAGTTAGTGGTGACTGCGCCAACCAGACCTGGTGGCGAGCATGAACCAGTGTGGAGAGTGTGCGTCCAAGT